GACATGCAGTACCTTACAGTTCCAACTAAACTCATTTGCAGCAAATGGCTGATGCACTATTGTAATGATATCGGAAAAGAAAACAGAGAAAAATAAACAAATTGTAAATAAAATGACAGGATATAACAGAACAAAGCAGTGTTCAAACTGTATCAGGTACAAAATATTTAATAATACAAAAATACCCTCAGACACAAATAGATAGTTTCAGCTATTACATTGAAATTAAACTACAAAAAAGAAAGTATTTCTGGTTGGGTGGTCCAGCTTCACAAAAGTAAAAACGTCAAGTCCATATCAGAGCTCCAGCAGTTCATAGGGCCAGATCTACACCTGGTTAATGAAGATACTAAATCCTAAATGGTCAAGTGGCATGTAACACTGCAATAAATATACTAAGACAGGAAGGTTCTTTCCCAGTTAAAAAAATATATATCAAATTAAACCAGTGGAAGATTTGGCTAACATGCAAGTCCCTCAAATGAAATCATGGAAGTGATTAACCTGTGTATTAATGAGATAGCTGATTTTTCATTCTCAATGTTTTATTGTAACTACAGTTATAGCTTGTCATTTGTGAAAATGCAATGTATACTTGAAGAGTATGCACTGGTAGATTGGTAACAAACACAGGCCTGGCTGCTTCGTGAAAAAAACTGTATAAGAGATGCCAAGACAATTACAGTAGTATTGAGGACTAGACAACTTTGTAAATACAGGAATTTAAATAGCTTTTTTCAATTTATTCCTATTATAGGGCAACTGTATATTTCAATATTTTGAGCATGATAATTGTTATTCTTTTTATTTATTACGCTTATTAAAATTGTTTATTGTTAGAGTTTTAGAATATTTCCTGTACATTTTTGGATATTAGATGTGGTGTGGTACAATATATAATCTTCATTCTTTACTGCTTCTGCTCCTGTTAGGAAGAGCCACTTGATTTGACTCATTTACTATTACCTAACAGACAATAAACTAAATAGTATGCAGGATTCTATGCGGCATTCCTAGGAAAGACTCTAGTATATGTGGAAAGCAAACAGCATACATGAGTTTATTGCACTGTACATAACCCTGCAACTGGACAGAAGTTTTTGATCAGTGACTAAGGTCAATATCACATATACTGTAAGTAGCATCCTTATGGATGTACTATACACGTTTCAGTATACATTTGTTTTCAGTTTCAAAATATGCATACCAATTTATTATTTTTTCATATTTAAATGAAATTCATACATAAAATATTTAAGATGTATGACAAATGGAATACAAACTTCTATACATTTGTAAACAAGCTGTTTGATGAGCAAATACATTTTTAACTACTTTTAAATATATTTTTAGACAGTAAAATTGTATTAGTAATATATAAAAAGTTTTAAATACATGTACATGATACTTTTGCAATAGATTTACCTTTAAATATAATTGTAAACTAATATAATTCTAATTGTGATTTATTTTATATGTTGAAAATATATACTAAAATTTAGAAAAATACTATTTTTATACTGTATTTATGCTTCCCAAACATTAAAAACATATTTACTAATACACTGATGGAAAAAAGAAATGCAGCACCTCCTACTCCACACTCTGCTCCCCTCCGCTCTGCGTAGAACAGGCTGAAGAGTGACTAATCCGTGAAGAGGACCTGATGCCACTGCTAACGAGTCCATCCCAGCCTCTCTCTGGCCCAAGCTAGTCGGGTTTGACGTCTAGGAGGTGTGAGCAGAGGGCCTCTGACAGGTCACCTTGCTCTTAGACCAGCAGCATGGAGCCTCAGTGTCCTGTCACTGATGTGGGCATTTTGTCTGTCGGCAGTTTCAGCAGAAGTATGGGTGGCAGATCTGAAATGATCTCTCAGATGGACCAGTCTGGTGTGTTGGTCCTGCTCTGGTGTGGTCACTCGAGGGCAACCGGATCTTGGACAGTCATCTGTCCTGCCGGTCTGCTGAAACTTCTCTGCAGTCGGGACACAGTGGAGCGGCTTACTCCATAGTGTCTAGCAACGCTGGTACATGACATGCCTGCCTGCAGCATGCCAATAGCCCTCTCCCTTGCTTCCGGTGACATTCGAGGCATTATGGAATGCACAGAAAACTGAGTAACTGTGGCATTTTCCTTGGAGTGACCTAAGTTTTGAATTAAAAGCCTTTTTAAAGGTGACGTGATCAGGCATTGTTCCACATGGACCTCATTGGGTAAAAGTCCACCTAACGAACTTTTGTGTGATTGGCAAGTTGCAGTGCAACTGCACAAGCTGTATTGCTGGTCAGAGGGCTTAAAACAAATTGACAACTTTTTGTGAAAGTACATACAGTGAGCTATAAATATAGTATTCTCATTCCAGAAAATATTGCGTTTCTTTTTTCCATCAGTATATTTTAGTCTGGGCCCAGTATTGAAATCTTTGTTTTTGCCACATTCCCTATGGACTGAGTACGGATAATATATAGCATGAGTCTCTGATGACTTTTCTGCAATGGAAAATGTTTGACAGGTGAAAACAAGTTGCCCACACAGCTCCAGTCTTTAAACCCGCTTATTTCTACTGTCAAGAAGCAACTTGAATAATAGTGGCATATTTCCTCTTTCCTTGCAATCTCACATCTGTGGTGTCCCATTTTATTCCAAAATGATGCACAGACATTTCTTAAACTTAATATATTATTCGAGAACCGAATGCTCAAACCAAACATTTTTTAAGAGTCAGTTATAGTAAATGACAGCAAAGCTAAAGAGAAAAACATGAAAAGTGTTGAATAAGTACTCAGACCTCTGAACTCAGTTTTTGGCGCAAGCACCAGTTACAGCCAAAAATCTTTTGGGTAAGTACCAACTTTTCACCCCAGCCTTGTGCACTTTTGTTTTTAAGGCACTCCAATGTAGCTTTGGCGTTGTGCTTTGGATCATTGTTCTGAATGGGCTGAAAGGTGAAACGTTTCACCCAGTTTTACATCTTTAGCAGCATGAAGAAGCTTTTCCCCTACAATTTCCCAGTACTTTGGTCCATCCATTTTTCCTTCAGGGCTAACAAGATTTCCAGTACTTGCTGAGGAGCATGATGCCGCCACCACCTTGCTCGACAGAAGGAATGGTGCTGACTGGGTGCTGTGATGGATCTGTGCCAATCCTAATGCACAGATTAAACTAACACATTTCCACATTAGTGCAGGACCACTAAGGTGCTTCGTTTCAAACACTTTGAAGGCTTTTGAGATTATTTTTAGTAATGCCTTCTTCCTGCTGCTCTTTCAAACTTGTCCTTGGCCTCACAGTAGCATCCCTCACCAGTTTCCTCCTTGCCTGGCTGCTCAGTTTGGAAGGAAGGCCTGATCTTGGCACTTGCCTGAATAAACTGTGGACTCTCCTCCTGATCTGTGCTATTCAATTTTAATCCCTGATTTGCCTTGAAAGTTCCTTAATTTTCATGGTTGAGTTTTTGCTTGAAATTCACTACTTGACCAGTGAACCTTACAGAGACTAGGGTTTTTAGGCAGTAAAGATTAAACCTGACTTCTCATGACATCAATGTAGACCCCAGATGGCTATGACTCTTATGACGAATAAGTGGCTTTCTGATAATGGATGAATGACCTTAGTGTTTGGCGTCATTGTAACTACGATGTGTTATGGGTAATTATAGAGGTCATTTGGCAAACAGCAGCATACATATTGAAAGAATGTACCAAGGTCATTTAAAAGAAATTTAAAATAAGTTTAATACCACTTTGACACACCACGTAGCCTCACCAGATATTAAAAGTTAAGTATGACTAAACCTGGTTTGTACTGGGATGGGAGATTTGCCATTATGTTTGTCAAACTACTAAATTGAAGTGCCACAGGTCATTATTAGTGGCCTGGCTTAATTATTATTGCTCTCAATGTTATAAAAATGAACACTCATTTTATGCCTGATGTATTCAATACAATGTCAATTTATTGTTAACCTTTAACTACATTTTTTTTGTTAAATGACACTTAATTACCAGAAAGTTATATTCTCTTATACTCAGCGATATTCTCGTCTGATTTGCTCATACATGTGTTAAGGGATATCCCTCTTCAATTTTTGCTGGGGGTATTAATTATTCTGTGTATTCTTTCCTGAATAGAAAGACAACTGGGCAAAGGGTCAGACTGCATATGTGAAACATCAATTGATTTTTTACTTGTTCCTCATGTGTAATATCACATGATGACACTCTTTTCTTAAAGACATACTATATCTTGACATAAAAATCAGAATATCAAAGGTATAAGAAATCTTTTATGTACATGTGTAGGAAATTTTGTCTGGTACAAGACCTAAGTCTGTACTCTTCTTGTTCAGACTTAAACTGAAGACACACCTGATGTGTGTAACATTTCCCTTAACGTGCTTCCAGTCTTTCATACAACCACTGGAATATCTGCTCTTGCATAACTGCAAACATAATTTGGACAATGCATGACAGAGTGTTTTTTTATATATTTTTACATTCTGATGTCATTGATAACTAAAACTTTAAACTGCCCGTCAGCAGGTGAATAGCTGTCTGCAGTTTGTGGATATTCTCTAAAGATGTGCATTTTCTGATTCTGAGTGCTTGGAAATTAAGTGTTTAGTTATTGTCCATGTGTAAAAATAGATGCAATTTTTCAGGTACAGAGAATTCCTAATCCTTAAACAGCACAGATATAATTACTCAGTAGGTGTTAGAAGAAAGAATAATGTAATGCAATTTGCATGTTTGCCAGAATTCTAAGCCCTACCAATATTACAATTTCAGTAGAACATATTCATCTTTTATTATGATAAAAGAGTAAAAAACAGACATTTGCCACATACATACTGTATACTGTATGCATTTATCCATACATGCAAGCACACACATTTCTTTATAGGACATCCTGCTTTCCACTGGGCAATGCAAGCAGGTAAGGACAATACATATTTAGCTGTGTTCATTATGGTTTTTTAAATCGGGAGTAGGGTACTTTACCTGTTGAGAAACCTGTTTTCTTGTGACACTTGGTGAACTCAATGTTGAAATAGGTGACGAGAGCATGGATGTAATCATTGCGCTGAATTTGAAGGCAGAATGCAGAGGTGAAGGACAAGTCCTCAGTCTTTACTGTGTATATATCTATCTCCTGTATTTAAGACAAAAGGTAACATTTTCATTGCAATGATCAGAATAGAAGAACAGTAGATTATGGCTCTCCAATGAAAGTTTAGCAACCTACTGGTTATGGGAAAAAATACCAGGAAAAAACATATTATTGAGAGGTTTGTTTTTTAAAGGTGCAGTTTCGAGTTACCCTTGGTGAGTTACTTACTGTAACATCTTGTACTCTGTCCTTTGAAATGTAAAACAATTATAAATACAGGTACCTCTGCAGCAACAGCTGTTGGTGCAGTTTACCCCTGCACCTTTGAATGACACTAGAAAAAAAGCCTGTTCAATGAGTATTTAATTTATTTTAAATTTATTTTTTTAGTGTGTAGTGTGTTGCATCATATATGCATCAATTAAGCCTAATCTGCTTAATTATCATCTGCCTGAGATAACATTTTCCCTGTGAACTAAACCTTTGAGAGGTTTGAAGTAGGTTTGGAGTCCATAAGAAATTACTTATAGCAGCAGACCAAGGTGAACAAGAAGTCTGCACTCAAACAGAAAAGTTTATTAGCTACAGTAAACCTCACAAGAAAAATGCAAAAAAGTATTTGAAATTTTAAATAAAACAGAGTAGCTTAAATATTAGTTATAATGTTTTTCATTTAATTGTTCTGTTTTCACTTTCATAAAACACAGTAAATTCATGGGATTTTATTAAATATAGTACTGAGCAGAACCGGCTGGCCTTTTAAACAAAAATGTTGTCAAATGAATACAGTATTTTTGAAACCTGGTCTTTGTACAGCCCTCAGTCATCAACTGGGAGCTATCTAGCTCCTTTTTTAGAGAACACTGCCAACCAAGTGCGGTATCATATGTCAGCTTCACCTTTTTGTCTTTCAGCCCAGAAAGTGCGTGACAAGTGTCGATGTCTGCCTGTGTTCCAGTGTGGATTTGCTTTTAGTGCTCAGAGGCCAAATGTACTTTCTGCTCTGTGAGCTGCACTCAGGAGTGCTTCTACATTTCACGTCACAATAACCAGTTGTTAAAGCTCCTTTCTCTCTTGTCCTGGCTGAGCCATTCTTAACTGTTCCCCACCAGCTAAAATACTGCTTCCATCAGACACAATCAGCTGCACAATAAATTCCCATGGCAATGAGAACTGTAGCTTACATTTGACAAAAGGCTCAAATTTAAATGAACGGAAGTTTGGAGAGAGTCGGGAAATGAGAACTGGTTAATTTAGGGTGTATTGCTTGTTTTGCAATGATCTAGGCTTGTCTTTAAATAACAGTTCTACAATGTATTTAATTATTTCTGGTTGCATTTTATGAAAGAATGGTTAAAGATTTAATTACCTTCAGTGAGATTACAACTGCAGTTTGCAACATATATAATTCTGTTAATATATTCCTCTACAGACTTCTTAAACTGGATATTACATTTTGCTAGTTTCAGCATATACACATCATTCAGAAACCCAAATAAATACTAGCTTAATGACTAATATCACTACACACTTTTAACGTGATCTTTAGAATTTACTGCCTGATGCAAGAGGTTAAAATTTTTTATATTGATGATCTTGGGGAAAATATACAGTATAGGAAATAATGACAAAAACAGAAAGGAAAATGGGTACAAATATACATTAGTACAAAAATAGTCTCAAGGGCGGGTATATAGCTGCCTAGAGTCCTGTTATACTGAGAAGATACAGAGCAGAAAGGATGAAGCAATCGTTTCCAAACTGAGGCTATTTTGAGTGCATTTGCACCCTCCTGTTCTTGAAGAAATATTAACTCCTGTACTTGCAACAAGGCTTTTCTTAAGATTTCGAATGGATTGTCACTTATCACATTGAGAATTGGTGCTATACAATATGACAAAAACTTTGGAAAGTTTGGGTTTTCTTTATTAGCTATTTCTTTATCACATATCGACTCTACTATTATCAACAGTAATTAACACATTTTAATGAACACTGCTCAGAATCTTACATACAGCACTGGATGAAACAAGAAGCTGAGCTGTGATCAGTTGATAGGAGAAGGCTTTATTAACTAAAGCCTTTTTTGTGCTTTTGTCATGTGAGATTTCCTTACCAAATTTAATAGGGTTCACCACATATTTAAAACTTTACAATGGTATCACTATCTACTTACAGTATGTACTGTAGGTCTCAGGGGATGTGGCACTCTCTTACAGGCTGTCTGCCAATCAGTACAATTGTTTGTATAATACTGTATTAGATAACATTTCATTTTTACACAAAAGCTATTAATCTGTAATATTTAGTTTTGTTATATAGTCACTTCTTCCTGCTCATACTTATTTCCCCTACTGCAGGAACAATAAAAGGTGAATAATTTTTCACTTCTTATTACCTAATATGTCATCAAATCTATAATTTACTGCAAATATTTTTATTTTATTACCAATTTACCACATTTACCACCGGTTTCTAAACTGTTTCTGTTAAAAATTTAAAGTCTGAAGCTGAGATACTTCAAATAATTAGAAGATAGAAAAAACATTTCATGAATGTTAATTAAAATTTGTATTATTTTTTCAGAATGTTTTGTTCTGAGTAGTAAAATAATCCATAACTGGTACACTTTATTTGTTTTGGATAATTGTTATGCACCAAACCCAGAAAATCATATATTAAGTGTTGAGATAGGATGGAAATGTAGTCCATATCCATAATATTATGTCATCCTTGCTTTATGCATATTATTTTAAGGGTTTGTACATTCAGAGTACCTGTAGCTTTATACAGTAGTTCATTGTGATACACACAGTTTCAGTTCTTGAATGTAAATGAACAATACTAGAGCAATGGTGTAATTCAATCATTCAGAATCTTTACAATCTTTCCTTTGTTCTGTAGGGTATGAAAAAAGATTCTATGAAGTGTTGAAAGAAGATATGCTATTAACCAGTATCATGTACAGTGATGTCTAGAATGCAGTTATTCATTTTTCATAAGTGCAAATGGTTAACCCTTTTGCTGATAGCTTAGTTTTTTATTTGTTCTGGATATCAAACAAGCTTTGACACATGAATATAAACAATGTAATTTATCAGTTGAATAAGTTCAAAATGAATAACATGGTTGAGAAAATACAGTATATAGAGTGTGTTGAAAAATTAACTACACCCCTTAAAATCTTATGGTTTAACATATTTTAACATATTAGACCTTCAGCTCCTCCTCACTAAGTCTTAACTAAATGTTTCCTGCAAAACTTGATCAGTGTCTCACATCGCCTGGGAGGCATTCATGCCCTGTCTACTTTACTGTCAGACACATGATCTCACATTTTTCTCTAGTTTACTCTGGCATAGTGTGGTAGACCCAGCAATAGCAAGGCATCCAAGTTGAGAGGCAGCAAATCAGGCCCAAACCATCACCCCACCACCACAATGCTTGATGGTTGGTATGAGTTTTTGCTGGTCAATGGCAGTGTTTGGTTTTCTCTAACCACAATGTTCTGCATTATGGCCAATTTCACTTTAGACTTACATGACTAGAGCACATTGTTCAAGAAGTCTAATTGTACATTCAATTGCTGTTTTGCAAATTTAATCCATGCAGCAGTGCTCCTCATGGAGAGCAGGGGCTTCCTAGTGGCTATCCTACCTTCATGAAGCCATTATGATTTAATTTTCTCCTAATAGTGAGCTCATGAACACTGACATTTACCATGGAGAGGCCTGTAGCCCCCTGGATGTAATTGTGGGATTCTTTGAGACTTCTAGGAGGATCATATACTCAGATTTTAAAGAGAATTTGATAAAACAGACTCTCCAGGGTGGATTGAAAATGGTCTTGAATTTTCTCCTTTTGTAGATTATCTCTGATTATAGTGGAAAGACAGACTCTGTGCTGTAACCCTTTCCAGATTGATAAGCAGGAAAAAGTCTTACTCCATGATTGCCCCAGGTTTCTTTTGATCAAGCATGATGTATTACCACAATCCTGAGTGCTTCAGACCAGACTGACAGAGTTTCTGAATTTATACATGATAAACTTATTATTTGCAAATGTTTTGGTGCTCCTGATTCTACATACCCTCTTAACTGTAATGATAGATCTAAGGGTGCACTTATGTTTTCACCCAAAGCATGCTGGTTATTTTTTAATAAATAATGACAAAGTAAAATTTTTGTGTTATTTGTCAAATGAGGTTAAATCTACTAGGATTGGTGAGGACTAGGTGAAGGTCAGATATGTCTAAATAAGTTAAACCATAAACTCTTAAAAGGGTGTACCTTATTTTTCACCACACTGTACTTGCCAATCAATAAAAATGAAATCGCCTTACAGTTTTCTTTCTCTTTGTATTGCAGTCTAGACCTAAGAATTAATATAGTCTACATATTACATACATTAGCTGTTAAAAATGAAATATACATGTATGCTTTGTATAAATGCTCTTGGAACATATTTCTTTCAAACAGAATAGTACTTGAACTTTCCACTTCACATATTTTTGTTTGTACAACACTATCCTTTATCAAAATCAATACACTGACTACTAAATGTCAACGTTCTAAATTAATCTGGAATAAACTTAATATTAGTCATTCCTTCCCATTAACTGAAAAGGAAGTAAAATAGTAATATTATTTTATTGCAATACCTGACCTTTTGGACTACAGCATGCACTTTACAAACAGATAAATAAAGCATTCTTGCACTGCACAGTGGTAAAACTGGGTTCTGACCTTTATCAAGCAGGAGTTCGTCACCACTTGCTTGGGGTCCACAATGTCCACCAGGGGTTCCTTCATGGCCACATTTCGTATGCAGGTCATGTCAAAGCCATACACATTCTCCCACCCTGCCAAAACACCGGACAGCAGAACACTCAGAGCACACCTGGGATGCATTTCACGATAAACACCCCACTGTCGGTTGGCTTTCTTTCTGACAGCTATGCCAACCCAGAGGTGTTGACAAAATCACATAGGAATGGAAACAAGGACATTTTGCATTTGATTTCCCCAAAAAGTGGATTTCTAGCTAGTTTGGGCTTTTAATAATGACTGCTGGAGGCATTTTCATATACTAAGTATCAGGGTATTTTTGTTCTGTTCTTTTACACAGGTACCTTTTATTTAGACATTCTGCATAATGGTTTTGGCAATGGTCTTTGTCTTAAATGCTATCAGCTATCCTATTTATAGGAAGAAATAACTTGCTTCACAACACGCATGTACCGTATGCTATTACAAACTATTCACTGCACTGCCTTTTTCTGTTGAGCCAATACTCAACCCATTAAAAAGCTTGCAAAGAATAAAGGAAAGTGAGAAATTCCAAACATTACATTAAGAAATAGATTTCTGAAACACCTATTAATGACCTTTGTGGAATAATGCAAGGAATGCTGATTTCTATTCATAATGGAATATTTTCACATCAGTGTTGTTGCTAAATTCAAATTATTTAATAGGTTCTCAATAAACATGAATCATTGCTTTTTCAAAGAAGAAATGAAAACTGCCAACAATCTGGTCATGGCAAAAACAAAGACCTGAATATTTTACATATTCACCTTAAAGTGTTTAGTCAAACAGGTTCTTTGTTTGCTCAAGATCAAATGCTCTGTCTACTCCTTCTTTTCTCTTTGACTTCTGTTATAAGACAGATTTTCAGATTTTTCCATTTATGTCTAATTAAACACAGCATATGCTATTGTCATGTGATTCACCAGACTATAAAGCATCCCCTAGGCAGTGTTCTAATCTAAGACCTTCAACCGCCTTCCCCTTAAATTACAATACACATGTTGTGGTTATTTTTTACAACATATTAAAAACCCATCCAGCCTTTTAATTGTATTACTGTATTTCATAAGCTTGCTGTTTCACTGCTTTATTCTTAATAGAATGTGTTTTTAAGTAGTGGCTGCTTTTAAAAAACTGAAGAAAAAATGTAATAATGAAATACCCAGAGTCTTGTTATCCATTCTGCTGCAATTACGTCTGTCATTAAAGTTTAACTACAAAACATCTATATTTCACATACTGTACTCTATGAAAATAACACAATGTACACTGACTGCATATCTACCTTGTGTGTCATATGCCATAGTGTGTGTATGATTATTATGTAATTTGTGAAGATGTTTATAATTAATCCTTATGTCGTCACCAATGATTTCTGCATTACAAGAAAAATTAACGGTTTGATATTTTAATGCTACTTTTTGAATTTAATGACTTTTTTAATTAGTTATTTTTAATTATTGTTGTTCTTTTTGTTAAGCAAAAAACATGGCAACAAACTGATATAACAATGTTTCCTGGCCACTATCTCATATTATGAATATATGGTACAGATTCCTTATATAATTTACAAAATAAGTAAATAATCTTAACTACAGTACCTGATGACACTCTAACAAGATGACATGCTGAAAGTAGCAGCGATTACATCTTTGTGCCATCTGTGTATCTGTGGGAAGCAGAACCCAATATAGTAGCTCAGTCTTGCATATACAGTATGTTGGGCTTTTGGCATGGCACTACCATCCCTTAAAACAAACAAGAAAAAATACAAGACTGTAACATCTACAGCCCTGATCATTTTAACACCTTGTTTTCAGCCATCAACGACAACTGTTGCCTAGACGGAGAGATTTTAGGTTGATTTTTAAATTGAATTCACAATGTTTTATGTGTATGTTTTAAGAAAAAAATAACCGATTTGTAAATATCTCTAGCATAACATTGTAGATTGTAGCCTAGACTCCTAATAGCTATTGCTTTCTCAGAGAGCTTTAATTACCTTGAGTGCTGTTTTCCTGTAGCATTAAGGTTTATAGCAATACAAATAATAAACTTAAAAATATATTTAGCTTGTCTATGTTCCACGCCACATTTTGTTCCCAGTTTTACACACACTCTGTTACATATACAGGAAAAAATAAAGACAGAAGGTGAAAGACTTTCTTCAGATTTCTTTGCTGTGACATTTATCTGAAGAATCTACAGTACTTGGTGAAGCTAATAACCCATGAGACGAGCATTCAACCTGAGCAGAATCATACCATTATCACCTCTGCTCAGATGATGATGTTCCAATGGGATGAATAAATCAACACCAGCCAGTTCTGCCACCTTAGCAGTGTGCAAGCAGCATAGCACGACCCAAGAAACACTCTTATACTGTAGACACAATTCTTAAAAGTCAGAAACCTTGCTGAAATACTAAGGTCTGACAGTCAGGAGCCTTTTCTGCAACCATTATAATTGTGCTGCATTTTATGTATCATTGATACTCAACTCATGGACTTCAAAAGGTAAATGATTTTGAGCTGTGTAATCAAACAATATTAGCTTGGCTTAACGTGGTTGAAGGTGAAAGTCCTGACAGTGTGCTCTGTTTTTTGCATAGACATTATTGCCATCTTTTGCTACAGGGCCAGTATACATTTAATGTAAGCTCCACTGGCAAAAGCATCTAGGCATCAAAAAGTTTTGAACGTTGTATACCTCAGTATCCTATTACCTGTATGTTCTAAGACTGAGAATGAGCTGTAATTGACAGCCACCCACAAACAAGCACAAAGAACTCTCCAAATTCAAGTTAAGCTATCTTTCACTAAACTGTTTATACGGACTGCCTAGTTTGCATTCCTTAGCTATTCAGCCTGACATACGCTGTCTCCATAGTTACTGAATTGCTCCTACAGGTCCTTGATGAGACTGTGGTCATGGCTTAGTGTAAGCCACGGCAGGACTGTATTATTTGTCCATCCAGGCCCAGCATGTGTTAAACACACAGTAAGAATATTCCTGTTGAAAGGGCATATTATCTTTCAGGCCAATAAAACTCCATCATGGCACCATGAATATGATTCCACAAAGATTAACTGAAAGCAGGCAGCATTTAGGCACACGCCCCTCCGTGCTGACAAAATCTGGTGGAACCTTTGACCTTGGCCATGGCATCTATTTAACGTTGTGAGCTACAGGTACCCCACATGCTGAATCTCCCCCTTCCCAAGCAGCGTACTTGATGTCCAGAAACATATCTCAGAAGAGTGTTTATGTAGTTTACCATACGTCGTTTGTTTTTGGTCCATTAAAATTGGAAGAAGTTTACCAAGTCATAAAATAAGAGTACAATTAAATTTGCAGAAACGCTCACATAAATCTTTAAAAAAATCAACTATGTAAAGAAACCAGAGCTCTTACAATGAATTTTGAAGTCCTTGTATTGTCTGTCTTCAATGGCAACCACATACAAAGCCGCTCGGTCAGGGAACATCAGCCCTCCAGGTTTCTGTTGATGAATGGTGGAGGGAAATGGGTCTCGTAATCAATTCACCTGACAAAGACATCACATTTTGAACTGCACATACAAAAAAAACAGACAACCTCGCCTTTTTGTGTGCCTACAGTATATAGTTCCTATGTCTGCCTGTCACATCATCTCATATCACTCAGCCAAACCCTGCAGCCTTTCTCAGAGTGGTTTGCTGTGTATGCAAGGATTTACATCGCTGTTCCTTTCAAAAAGACAAATACTGTTACCTGAGCCTACGGTTTCAACCCCCCACCATCCACCTGCTTTCCCTATTCCAGCATTTTAATCCTTCTGCCCAGGAGATCTGAACATTTAAGGATAACGTAAACAGACAACCGCGGAATGAAGGCACCTACCAACCATTTGTCTCTGGCAAAAATAACAGTGTTGAGCATGGATTCATAGAACAGACAATAACCCATCCACTCGCTGATGATAATGTCCACTTCATCCACCGGCAGCTCCACTTCCTCCACTTTACCTTTAAAGATTGTGATAACTGCAAAACAAGGGCAATTAAAAAGTTCCAATAACTTATAAAATGTTATATTTTCACAAGCAACACAATGTCATGTTATGATGACATGTTATGATATGGTGTGGCACAATCAGGGACTTTCATATAACCCATCCATTTTCTAACTGCTTCATCCAATTCAGGATCACAGGGGACCCAGAATCTATCCCAACATGCAATGGGCGCAAGGTAGTGTACATCCTGTCCATCGCAGGGCACACACACACTCACAGCAGGGCCAATTTTCCCAGAAGACTATTAACCTACTAGCGTGTCTTTGAACTGTGGGAGGAAACTGGAGTACCCAGCAAACATGGGAAAACATATAAACTTAGAAAAAAAAGCAGTCCATGTCCAGAACTGGACCAAGAGCCCCAGCGCTGCAAGGCAGCAATTCTAACCGCTGCTCCACGGAGACTTTTCATATAACCATGACTGAAAAAGACATAACTTGTGGTAATCTTTTGTTCTACTTTAATATTTTATGCTGAAAATAAAAGTGAAAATATCCCTAGTATAAATTTATTATTAAATGCAGGTATGGAGTTAAAGTTATATAGAGAGAGCCACAGCCTGTGAGGGAGCACTTTTTTACACCAAGGGTTGTGGGTGTCTAGAAGAACCATTTTGAAGAAGCTGATACCCAGGCTCTTAGGAAATGGCTGAAGGGAAGGATCGATTGACCAATCTGTGGTGATGGTAACTCAAAACCAGTGTTACCTTCATTTTCTCGCATATGGCATTGCATGGCATTTTGTTGTTATTTTACTTATGTTTGTGATCACTTCTAGAACTGCAGTTGGTTTTGGGTGAACAGAAGACAAAGGGGAGAGAAAAGGGTATAAACACATACACACAAAACTACAGTAGATGCCGGAGTAAAGGTTATTGAGCTGGATGACAACTATCAGCATAACAATATTTGTACTGTGATAATGCCAGAGTTAAATGAACATGACAATAATGTCAGATTCTTGAAAATATAAATCCTTTGTGGTTTCCAAGCTTGGCACAGAAGATCTGGAGTGTCTGTCAAGAGGCTGCAACAAGTCCTAAATATTTAATTTTAGGCTTCTAAGGTAAAGTGTAGATAAATTTTTTAAAAGAAAAAAAAATGGTCCTATACACACATCTAAGGGCATTGTGCTTTGTTTTTACCCAGATTACAGCCCACTGACAGCTAAGAGATGTGCCTTTGCAGGAGTTAGGAAATCACTGAAAGAAGCTGGCATCCAGTCTTTCCTGTTTCACCTTGCAGTCCTCAGTGCTTAATGGTGGCAGATGGTATTGGTTTACTTCAGTGCAAGAAGCAGAAACATACATAACCGAAGGTCTCGTGCAGTCAACTCAGACTGCCACTTCTTTTTAAAGATATTCATGTCATTTCTTTACTAGAACTGAA